CTCTCTACCTCTCTCTCTCTCTCTCTCTCTCTCTCTCTTAAAAATAAATATGCCAAAAAGTAGAAAGAAATAGATTATATAAAAATATAGCTAAAAAAAATTAAAAGACATAGCTTAAGAAGTTAAAAGATACTTATTAAAAATATCTCTTGAAAACATGCTCGGCAAAACTGTAGAAATAGAACCAGAAAAAATTAAGAGTTTAAAAATACTGTATAAAAGGAAATAATTTAAAAATGGCAGGGAATTTATGTATATGTTCATTATTTTAGAAAAAAAATATGCATTAACGTTATTATATGTGTCTATAAAAGTGTCTATAAAAGTGATATTACGAAATGTGTCTATAAAAGTGATATTACGAAGTAAAAAGATTTAATTTTATCTCTTACGTATTTCTTCTTTATCTTTAACATTAAATGTATTTCCAGATATATGGTAAATCTATATCTAGATCGCGACAGGTTTCTCAATTTTATTTATCTTCTTCGCATCTTAATTCGTTTCAATTATATATCTCGTGGAAATATTTAGCAGCCTCGCGATTCCATCGGAATAATTTCTTTCGCAATCCTTGCGCACACGCGCGCGCGAACTTACAATTAATCCTGCAAACCGTAACCCCTATTCCCTGTGAATTTAAAAAATGCAGCAATAATAATAAAGGTGGAAGAGCGACGTAAAGGAAAGAGAAATCGATTATAAGCGCGGAATGAGAGAATCATTTGATTATTTCCGAATGTTGTTCTCAATCCTTCCTAAGGCATTCCCAATAAATCGAATCGCGTGAGAAATCGGTGGCCTGATAACATTCGATAATTCGCGATCGAATAACTTATTATCCGGCGCGGAAAAATTGCATCGAGAAGAATAGCGGAAGGGGCAGCGGGGCCCCGGGAAAATGGGATCCCGGTAACGCAATTTGTGCCACGGCGACTTGACCTTCGATAGCTCGAATTGGATATCCGTCGGTCTCCAGTTTCAGGAAGAGCGCCACGATGACTGCCGCTGCCTTCTCTTCCTTTGTAAGCCGTAACCTCGTTTGCCCCGCAATCGCAGGATTTGTTATCCCGGAAAATCATTTTTCCCGCGCGGGGTCCTACCCCTCTCCTGGAAAACGAAATTACGATTGCGATCTGGAGTGATAGATAGACGGACGATGATAAGTCGAGAAATGACCGTTCGACTGAGGTCGAACATGATTAAATCGACGATCGAGAAAATCTCAAATCCCTCGCTCTTTTTATCGAATTTGTTATAAACTGTTTATTACGATACAACATACGTATGTACGAGAGACCTCGCGGTGTTCATGACTTTGGACTTTTTTAACAGCAAATTCTTCTCGGCTTCTGTGCAAGCTTGATTCACATTTTCCAAAACATTCATTGCACGCCTTTGTGACTGAGCTTTAAATTAAAATTTTATTAAGGCAAAGTATCTATTTACTAATTAACCGAGGAAATAGAATATATAATTCTTGTAACGCTCTCACTTTGATTTATACTATGTATATTAAGCAACATACAAAATGGACGAATGCATTATGCGATAAGTAATGTAATAAAAACCGCCAACGGGATAAAATTATATAATAAAGATGAAGAATGCGGAATTAGCTTCGTGCCGACGCAGGTGATATTGGCGTTCCAACGCCGAGCGCGCGTCGTCGGATATCATCACTGGGAAAGTTATCCCGCCGCTCTGTCCGGCAAAATCGCAATTTCGAATGTCGGATGTCGAAATTACAAGGAGCTGCTAGCTGCCGATAAACAGCTTACTTTCTCAATAAAGGACGAAGACAATAAGGGCAACTTCAGTCCTTGCAGGAATTAAGGCGTTCGCCGGATTAGAGGGACGCCGATACGAAGGATAAGCCGCGTCCTGTACGGATGCGACGCCGCGTGCAATACGCGATAGCAGATAAATTACAAATTCTGCAAATCGAATATCTCTTTTACAAACAACGTTTAACGCGAAAATGTAAACGATCTCCGACTTTCTGGAGAATTGTTTCTGTTTAAGACCGGGTTTAACGGGGCGAAATCCTCGACAAAGATCGTTCTAATTTTAGTAATTTTTACCTTACATCCTGTACCATCTTCGTATTACGAGACGAAAGAAGAGATATTATTAAATGCACTTGCCGTGACAATAATCTTTTTGTATTTCTTTGGCGTAAAAAATATAGGACAAGAATAAAAAATAAAATTTTTATAATAAGACTGTAATTACTAATGTATCACTTAAAAAAAAATAAATGATTATTTTATTATATTTGCATATTAATAGCTTTGTAACCGATTCATGTTTAAATTATTTATTCAGAAAAAGAGAAATAAGCAAATTTTCTTTAATTAAGAAAATTAAATTGAATCTTATTTAATTTTTCAAAATGCATTTTCTTTTAATTTCAAACGTATGATTTGGTATGATAATAATGTAATGTAATATTTAAAATAGAAAAAAAAAAAGAATTCGCAATCAATTTTTTGTTAAGACAGATTCAATTTTTAGTATCTAAAGAATTTAAACGAAGAGAATGGCAATATTTTTTAGACATCCTATATACAGTTGTATCGGAAGAAATCGTCACCAGAATGATTTAAATCTGTACTGTCGAATGCCCAGATAACAACACTAGAGAGTCTCTCTGCCGACAAGTTTTCCAATATAAAGTCGATATTTGTTCTATATAAATGCCAAAACATTGGAAAAATTCACTGCAACAGGCCCTCAACACAGTACTGTTGTTATCGAGGCACTTGGTCGTCACTTTAGCGAGTGACGACTTTTACAAAAAACGTAGTTACGAAAAATACAAATAATTGTTACAAAGAGCGGACTTGTCTATTTTTGTGGAGGCGTTTCTATTGAATCAAACTTTGATTTCCATTTTTCCATTTCAATATTTTGCCTTTCTCACAACTGAATTTATTTGGGCTTTTATTTGAAACTGAAGGCAAGTAAATAAATTACGTATGACTTTTTTATTAATTAAAAGTTTATTAGATAAACTTTTAATAATAGTTTCCTTAAAAATCCTTATTTATTTTATCTTATTCTTGTCTTATTTAAAAAAAATACTGAAAATTTTATTTTGTTTAATTTGAAATCTCTTTGAAAACGTTTGTTGGATGCTATTTTTCCTATAATTTTTTACTTTTTTCTGAATATATTCGTATTTAACTGAAAAGATTAAAATGGTTGTTATTCATTTTTTATATATTTCACTTTTCCCATTTTTTAATCATTTAAAGTCTTGACGGACAATATATATATATATATATATTTAAAATAAAAATAAAATTAACTTGTAAATTAACTTGTATACTCTTAATTTATAATAATTATATCTGACACAGAAACAAAATAGAATATCAAATTTTTTGCTTTGAATCTTTTTCTAGAGCTCGGCATTAATAATCTAAAATGGTTTTGAAATTTTATTAGGTTTTGTAAGAGTGACAATTTAATTGCTAATACTACTTGTGAATCAACTTACTCTATTTGCGGTCGAACGAGATCCTCATAATCTCTATGAAATAATGTGGATAATTATATTATCTTTATTGAAAATGTTAAATGAAAATGTTAATTGAAAATGTTAAAAGCAATCGATATCTCAAATAATAACGATTCTGTAACGATTTTCATGATATGCTTTTCATGTCTATATGTGAATGCAGCTTTATTACTGAAATTAACTAAATATTTTTATTTAGCAAACAGATTTTTTGTGTACTGAAATAGTTTTGACTTTTATTAGACAAAAACTAACTAAAATTTGTTAAGCCTTGTAAAATACATAAAAACATGAAATTATATTTGCGCGAGAATTGAAAGAGCCTAGAATTCGAATAATTTTGCAAACATTAAATCACAAAATCACAAAAAATAAACACTTTACGTGAATTATTATTTTGTGAGAAAAAGAAAAGGAAACGCGTACGGTATAAATACGTACTGCGATCAATTAGTGAAATAATTATGTGTGCTAGGAGTTCTACCATATCCCGAAAATATTATCCGGAGCTCCGAAAAATAAAATAATGACAACCGTAGGGCATCGTATCCGCCAACCCACACCTCCCATATATACTTGCACTTACGATCGCGCATTTCGCTATCGCGGTTTTTATGACCAGAATAAATTTCGTCGCGGAACGATCTCTTGAGCGCCGATATCGAACTCTTGCACCCGCCTCGCGTGCACAAATGCACACATAACACCTCCGCCGTCCCCTTACGTATGACATGCGCGCAGACAGCGATTTAAATTCCGGAATAAACGTTACGGCGATGACGAGTTACGTTACGGGGATCGAAGATCGATACGATCGACACGACGATCTCCTTTCGACCGATACGCCGCCCTGAAAATATGAGGGGTGGGATTAAGCTTTGAGATATGGGGATGATATAGTGCTTTATCGGAGAGTCGAGCGCTCGGAAGCGCTAAATGTTTCGGGAGATCGACGGGATGTCGCTATGTAATACATGATAAATTTACTCTTTGCTTGAAAAACGAGGAATACGACGAATCCGAAGATTAAAATTCGAAAAGGAAAAAAATTAAGTCAAGTTGTGACCCTAGCAATATAATAACGCGAGAACGACTTTCTGCAAATAAAACATCTACATTGTTTTAGATATTTTCTTTTTTAAAATTGATGCGTATATATATGTATATATGTATATGTATATATATATATATATATAT